GATTTGTAAGTCAATAAATCAAAGTTTCAATAATCAATTTCAAATACCAAAAGCTATCCTAGTCAGCAAGGCCTCAGTTTGTTCCGAATTATTAATGTGTCAAGTGAGCATGATTGTGAGCACATACCAATTAAATATTCAAACAATACATGTAGCATGTATATGTATGTGAGATATGTGACACAATATAAATAATTTTGAAAACAAGATATTTTTGGCCAAAAAAACCCATTTCTCGGTTAAAAAACCAGGGACTCTCCACTGAGTCCAATCCACTAGTATAATCAAGATTCTTACAAAGTACCACGTAAAACTCAATTCCTAAACCTAGTCTACAGTATAATCAAGATTCTTACAAAGTACCACTAATATAATCAAGATTCTTACAAAGTACCACGTAATCAAGATTCACTACTACGTTTAACTATTAGAGCGACAAACAAAAGTTGGTCGCGCAAAGTGTATTTCTGTTGCACAAACGTCTGTGCGACGGAAACTTCGTCATGCAAAGATCATGAAGAAAGACTTTGCGTGACGAACAATATCATTGGTCGCAAGAACACGGCGCGCCAGTTTAGCCTTTTTCTCACAAAATTTTTAGGAACGAATGTGTTCGTCACACAAAATACCAGGATACAAACATAGGACGACTAATATTCGTCTCTAGAAATTCTGCGCGACGATAAGTTATTCTTGTGTGATGAAATCTTGTTAGTCGCTTGAATTTTGCGAGATGAAGATATTCCTCGCTAGAATTTTGCAAGATGAAGAAATTTGTCATGCAAAAAGAATATATATATATATTTTTTTTTTAATAAAATAATAAAATAAAATTGTAATTATAAAATGTATTGAAGAGAAAAATAATTTATTTAAATAAATATAGAATGTATGTACCTGGAAAATGTTTAAAAAATTAAGGGAGTAAAAAACTAAGAAAATAATGCGGAGTAATCTACGGGGTTGTCATTCAGAAGTGGTTGGAAATCTTGGGGCAAAAAGGTCTCGGGGTTAAGGACAGGCTCAGAGGTTGAAGGGTAGAGTTCTGGGCATGCTCGGGTTAGAGGGGCTCGGATGTCGACGGCGGACGAAGATCCAGGAGACGAATGCCGAACTAACTGAGGGCCTGTACAATCAGTGACATCTGGCTCTTATATGAGGCGAGTTTAGTCCTAAGGTCGGCCACCTTTGCTATTAAAGCTATCACCTCATTATTTAACTATGATGATGAAGGGGCTCTAAGTTCCTACTGCCGAGCATTCCCCATCCCCCTACAATACACCCTCAGCCTCCGCCAGAGAGTCTGATCCAAGGTCTCTAAGGATTTGAAACCCCGCATCCTCAGGGGGATCCACAGACTCGAGCGGAGTCTCGGGAGGAAGTTAGGAGATGGAATCTTAAAGAACCAATTGCCTCTTCTCTATCATCGTCACCTGTGTAATATAACATGAAATATTAATAATAACATTCAAATAATAACCACGATACTTGAATGCATAAGTTAGTAATTACAATTGAAGAATACTTGCATGAAGGGACTTGGCCAACTCATCCCTGGATCGAACATAAACGTCTCTAAAGATATTGATCTTCGGGAATTTTGAACCCCCCTGAATAGAATAAGAGAAGAAAAATGTTAGTACAACTTTATTTTCAGACCCACGCACCCTTGTTTTTCGCCCTGCCAGGATTTTAGTGGCAGAGGTTTCTTGATGATGATGATTGTTGGAAAAAGCTGTTATGTAGGGGACTCCTCATTTTGGTATAAATGTCCTTACTCTTCTTTATTGCAATTTATCTATGCTCTGACATCACTTGTGTTCTATGCTCTGACATCACTTGTGTGATATGGGTTCAATCATGCTCACATGCGCACTCTAAATTAGTCACTTTTAGGTTTTAATTTATTCATTTTTTCCACATCACTATACTTTATGGCTTTGTCACCTTCCAGGTGTCGGCCAGCACATTGCGATTCAGATGTCTAGGTGGACATTCCGGGTCATGGTATTCAAGTAAATTAGCAGGCAAATAGCTAAATTTTAGGACCCAATTACATTAATTACAATTTGATTTATTCTCTAATATTTGATCCACAAATCAAGCTTTAATTGGCGTTGACTTTGATTCATAACAAATAATTCCAAAGTGATACGAAAGTGAAATAGTAAAGCTGAATAATAACAGAAATACACATACATACATATACATATTATAGCAATATAAGAGATTTCACAATACTATTCTCAAAATTCGATTTATCATTAAAAGCCTTTAAACACTCATATTGGCTAAAGTTATGAAAAGGAACACAATAAACCAATTTTACTACAAAAAATAAGGATAATTGACTTAAAAAAAATGTCGGCAATAAAGCACTTGTCGATATTGATTAGTTATAATCTGTAGAAAACTTTCCTATATACAAGGGATTAGGTGACTTTTGGTTATGCAACCATTCAAATGGGCTACGCATATCTTGGGTCATACCTCCTAATCAAGATGTATACTTTCATTTGAATTACACCTCTCTATGAAGGATGGTGTTTTAACAAACCTAATATTGCTTTTGAACCTTAAGTATGTATAGATGGACCATGCATATGCATTAGAGTCCTATAGTTACCTGAAGGAATATTCGTTTGAGAATCTTGGATTATGTTTCGGAGAGTTGCCATACTAAGAGATTGATAGATAAGCTCATTAAGGCGGGTGTATTCAATTGAGATTTTAAGGGATTTTAATTCTTTTAATGAATCCAGGGGTATTTAATTAGGATTTTAAGTGATTATCTGAAATTCAATGTGTATTCAATCAGGATTTTAAGATAGTTTATTAAAATCTTAAGAAATCTGGGTGTATTCAATTAGAATTTTAATGAAGTTTATAATATTCCAGGTGTATTCAATTAGAATTTGAATTTAAAGAGATTGAAAAAGTTGAGGAATTAGAGAGAATTAAAAAGATTTTGTAGTGTATTTTAAGCATCCACAAATCTCACATCTCCCTATGACATTACATGAAATCTCTACAAATCAGTTAAACTCCATAAAAATCCGTGGATTTATAAATCCATTAAAATCTCTCAATTCCCAATTGAATGCACCCCCCTAAATATTAGGGTAATCTGCGCAGGTCGCATGACGTTTGACTTGGATCGTTTGCAATGAATTGGATGGGGGTCTATTGATTGTGGGCTTTTATGGCCTTCATAGAGAATGTGGCCTATTAGTCTGTTAGGGTTTGACTAATGGTATGCATATTCCATCAAGGACATAGTAGTCATATTTGATAAGTTTCATAAGTGGCGTGTTCTCATTAGTCGGGATATTTTATTTTCCCATAATAACATTTTGAGATACTTGCAGGCTGCTCCAAGGAAATGACTTATGTTCTCAAAACATGGCCAATTGGACGTTTCTGGGCATACAGATACAGATTGGGCAAGTTCTATCACTAACACACATTCAACTTCAGGCCATTTCACATTTGTTGAATGCAGCAATCTAGTTGCTTGGCGAAGCAACAAACAAAATGTTGTTGTCAAATTAGTCGTTGACGCAGAATTTCAAGGTATATCTCATCGCATTTGTGAATTGTTGTGATTACGAAGTTTACTTTCAAACTTAAGTTTTAGACCACAAAAAGTTGGATTGTGATAACAAGGATGAAATCGACATTGCTCACAGTCTAGTTCAACATGATTGAACTAAACATGTTGAAGTGGATCGACATTTTATCAAAGTGAAATTGGAAGTTGGACTGATTTATGTACCGTTTTTTAAGATTGGAGATCAACTGGCGGATATTCTTACAAAAGCCGTGTCTAGCAAAGTATATCATAGCTCACTCGAGTTGGTCATTGGTCACATCTATACACCAAATTTTTTTTTAGGAAAACTAATTAAAAGGACTTGAAAACTTTAAGTTTTAATCAAAATGACAAAAATGTATTGTAACTGAATAGTACCATGAGTAACTTTTTAAAGTAAAAATGTCCTTAACGTTAAAAGTGAATAGTACCATAAGTGTTTCACCAAGACTCTAGAGGGAGGGGGGATGAGCCCATCAGGTCAAGTGTGGGCTTCGTTGACTTTGTAATTATGGTTTTCGACAATCTTAAAGTTTAAAAGGTGGAATTATAACTGAGAAGATTATCATATAATGACACTAAATTTTTTTTTCCCCAAAAGATCGGATTTTATTAAAATTAAATTACGAATGATTACATTTGCATAATATTAAATAGAAATTCTGAACATAACTCATCTCAGCCAAATCTCTCGCAATACCCCACCCCACCCGCCTTTGTCTCCTTCCTCCAGGCCGCGTCGCAATTCAATTTCAACGCTAATTAAGTATGCTTTTCAATTTTGTGTTTACCTAGTTAAGGTAGCATATATGTATATATGAAAGGTTGATTCGTCGTGTTTCGGGTTTGGAAAATATAATTGTGAATCTTTGGGATGAAAATTAATGAGACTTTCTTTCTTAATTAATAGTTAATTGCTAAGAAGATTAATTTTTCAGGCCAAATATATTTTAGATTTATCTTTTTATTTTGACATGGGGATATTCTAAACTAGTTAAATCTATGTAGGGAAAAAATAATAGGTGGAATTTTAATTAGAGAAATAACTAAATACTCTGATTCTATTTAAGTGTAAGTCTTAATTTTGCATATACCCAATTAAGGAAGGAGGAGGATTCTCTACCCTCATAATCTATTTACCCTTCCATGCACTTCTATTTGAACGGTCACGGTTAAGCCACATCAACATCTTATATTGATTTTTTTTATAGAGATATTAAGACAAAAAACAATGCATGAGAGGAAGGTCTGAAAGAGGATGAGAATCAGATGGTAGAGAATCTTCGTCCGTTAAGGAAACATGTGTATATAAGAGGACCTATCTAGCGGTAACATGCATTGTAAACCTAGGTGAGGCTTCATTCTCCTTGAAACTAGAGTGAAGGCATAAAAGTTGTAGTCAATAAACATGGCGAGGCTCTCATGGTTTCCAATTGCTTTCTTTCTAGTCCTTGCCTTGAGCTGTGCCATTGATGTCATGGTAAGAACTCTCGGACACTCGTTGTTAAATTAAGCATCCCTTTTCCGCGTGTTTATCTTGTAAGTTGAATACATTTTCTTTGCGCAGGCTGGCGGCGAGGGATCACTTCGTCCTGAGCGTATGCATATTACTTGTCAAACTCTTGTTCTTAAAATGATTTTAGCTAATTTAATACATAATTGATACAAAATTCAAATTACTTGATATATTATTTGTTTGGTGTTTTAACCAGAATGTGGAGCGGCATGTGACTACCGATGTTCTGAAACTTCACATAGGAACCCATGCATAGAGTTCTGCAGCATGTGCTGCCAGAAATGTCTATGTGTTCCATCAGGCACATATGGACATAAGAAAGAATGTCCATGCTATGACAACTGGAAGACGAAAGAAGGAGGTCCCAAGTGCCCATAAAGCCAAACGAGTTTATTACACAACGTTTAAGAACTACATTAACCGGCTATTACGAATTGAAAATGCAGATTTGTTCTTGCAAATCCAATCCAGAGCCTACCTGGAATAATTGCTATTTACCATATTCATCAATAAGGAAATGAATTCTTTGTTAGATATGGTGTCAAAGTAATCTACACTTTTTTTTCCTTTTTTTGCGCATTCTCTCACTTCAACCAAACGATATGAAACTCAATCCAATCTAGACGACAGAAAATTCATTAAAACCACCTCTAAAAGAATCAGAAGCTTGAAAGCTACAAGGATGATGAACAAAAGCTACACCAGCAGATGGAGGAAGCCTGACAACATAAAGAGCAAACTGACGCAAAATGAGAATCCCTGATAAAGCGATAAATTATTAGTTTGAAGTTTTCCAGGACTAAAATGCCATATGATAATAGAGTAAATTCAATCTATACTAAGTTTGCTTCCTGTTCATCAGCATAGTGTGCTTCCTATTTTTGCATCACGGGCGTTACGCGCTCTAAAAATGTGTTGTTTTTTATATTCTTATATTTCTTAAGTAAATACAATCCCACTGTCAAAGGAGATGACCTTGTCCAACTATTTAGGCAAAAACTTAAAATGTAATTGAAATAGAGACTCTCTCAAAAGGGGATTAGATTATGCCTCCTAAATCACAAATGAAGTGCGAGCAGAGACTCTCATTGTTTCTGCCCCATACTCTATTGCTCCTTTTTTTTTTGTCAAATGATAGATTTTGTTAGATTAGATGTTAGATTAGCCACCGACAGAGTTTAAACTCCCATTGTTATTCAATAGCTCAACACTTTTCCACACTATGGTAAAGGGTCACTTGCAAGACTATATTGTTCATTGGCAAAAGATCAATTAAAATGTAACAGGGCGCTCCTGCACATGCGAGAGGTTTTATTATTATTATTATTATTATTATGGGTGCCACGAGCTCCCATATATTTTTTATTTATGTTAAAACCAGATCTTTGATTTGGTATTAAGTACTCTTTACTTTCAATTTTGAGTCTCCTTTTATTTCTTTTTGTTTCTTTACAAATATTTGTTTTATTTTGTGTGCGTTTGGTAAGTGATTGTCATTCACCATTTTAAATACGAAGAATAAAAGAAAATTCAAGGAAAAAGAAAATAATTAAAATTGAATAAACAATGTATATGCAAGTTGCATAGCCAAAAAACAGAACATTTAGGTATCAATGGAAAATAGCACTTCATGAACATTTTATTTTATTTTAGGCGCTACGCGCCCCAAAAATGTGTTACTTTTGATATTTTTATATTTCTCAAGTGATTACTAAATATAAATATGGTCCCATTGCCAAAGGAGATGGCCTTGTCAAACTATTTAGGCAAAAACTTAAAATGTAATTGAAATAGAGAGAGTAGAAACTCTCATTGTTTCTGCCCCAGACTGTACTGCTCTTTTTTATTTTTTTTTATTTTTTATTTTTGGTGTCAAATGATAAATTTTGTTAGATTAGATGTTTGATTAGCCACCGACAGAGTTTGAACTCACGTCGTCATGCAAGAGCTCAACACCTTTCCACACTATGGTAAAGGGTCACTTGCAGGATTGTATTGTTCATTGCCAAAAGATCAACTAAAATGTAATCGGGCGCTTCTGTGCATGCGATTTTTTTATTATTATTATTATTATTATGGGTGCCATGAGCTCCCAAATATTTTTTATTTATGTTAAAACCAGATCTTTGATTTGGTATTAAGTACTCTTTACTTTCGATTTTGATTCCCCTTTTATTTCTTTTTGTTTTTTTTTACAAATATTTGTTTTATTTTGTGTGCGTTTGGTAAGTGATTGTCATTCACCATTTTAAATACAAAGAATAAAAGAAAATTCAATGCAACTGATAGCCAAAAAACAGAACATTTGGGTATCAATGGAAAATAGCACTTCATGGACATTTTATTTTATTTTATGCTTTTCACATGCATTGAATGAAATCGACATGCAACTATGTAAGCTACATATTTGGGATAGGCAATACATAAACTCATCGAAGCAAAAACAAATAGAATTAGTATGAGGAGAAAGCAGACATGGATAAAGACAAACTAGTGAGTTTTACGTGAGCGATTTTATGTACATTTACACCGTTAGATTTAAATGCGTTTTAAACTTCATGTTTGGACCTATGATGTATCAAAGAAAACATATTTGTATAGCAAACCTGGCTAATTGTTATTGAACATATGGTGTAACAGAAAACAAAAGAAATCATTCTTTTGTTTTCTTCTCCCATCTTTCTTTTTCTCTCATTTTCTCCCTCACTCTTTCTCGAACTTTCTCTTTGTTCCCGAGCCCCACACACCACCATCATTTTCAAAATTTTCCTACAAAGTCAACAAATAATCACCACCATCATGCCTATCTTGTCCCTATGAACCCATTTGTGAGTTTTGTTTCGAGGAAACCAAACCAAATCATGGAAATAATGAGATCCAATAAGCCGAGTTCTCTCATCATGATTCAGACCATCTCCGACCAAATTTTGAACTAAAAACAGGTATAATCATGTTCAACTCTTATCTAGCTTCATTTTCATACAAATATCGTGAAATTTGGTTGAGAATCGAAGAAGATATGACGATTTGAAAATCACCCAGAAAGCCAGTAAGTTTCTACAGAATCCAGCAAGATTCACTACGATGGCGCCGACGATCGGAGGAAGGAAGGAGGAGACCGAATATTCCATTAATGGTTATATTCCTAATGACGTTAAGATATATACTGTTAGATTGTTAGTTTTAATGGAATATTCCATTCTGGCGATGAAATATTATAATCGATTCCCCACCGCACGAGCGATGACGCACAACAGCTCGTGACCGGTCGACGGCGGCTTAGGGCTAAAAATCCAATATGTTCACCTAGGCTAATTTTGATGCCATGGATCCATTTTTGGCATCCATTTAGTAAAATTTCATCGTGTCAACGTAGTTTCATGGTTGACCCCACTTAAACTTCGATTGACAAAGATTTGACCGTCGAATCGTCCCAAAATTTTAATATGTTGGTCTAGAAGGATAACAGAAATGGACCTTTAGAAAGTTACATATTGGAAATCCAATGTATGGATCTTTTGGATCGAGTTACGTAGGGTTGTAGACTCTACCATTGACTTTTAACCGATGGTTGAATTTTGATCAACGCATTCCGAATCCATCTAGATTGTCTTAGGGGACGTGTACAACCTAAAATAACGTGTTTTATTGATAGAATTCTTAGACAAGACTTGTGCTTTGTTCTAGGAAACAAACGTACATGGACGCCTAGTTATTTCTGCTAGGGAGTCATAGCACAGACTCCACATAAGTGACTTTAATATATGTGATATTGGTTATGAAGATCTCCATGCTAGTATACTTAGTGGATATAGCATGGTTTTATAAATGTTTTTTTATTTATTACATTGTTAATTTTAAATTATACCATCGATCTATTTGTGAAATGTGATTTGATACTTGTATTTGATATGTTTATGAAACGCAAAGGCTAGTAGATGACTATTAACCCATTGTTATGGGGAGTTGTTGCATTGAACTTGCGTCTTGCCTTGTTCATTGAGCCTCGCTAAATTGACTTGTGCCTTGCCTTGTTTGTTAAGCCTTGCTAAATTGAGTTCCTTGTATTCTGCTCGGTTCCGTTGAATGGTACATAACCGAGCTCTGTTGGGGTTCCAAGTAGTCTGGTTCCCTGCTTTGTATGAATTTCATTGAGTAGTCTGGAATCCATCCATTTGTCTTTATCTGGATTCCTTTGAATGGTCTGGGATCCTCATACTCTGCGATTCCGTTGAGTGGTATGAAATCCCTCTTTGCATTCGATTTCGTTGAATGGTCCGAAACCCGATCTTTTGATGGATTTCATTGAGTGCTCCGAATTCACATCCCTTGCCTTTGTTGGTTAATTGATTCCTTGGAATTGGTCTAGAACGTGGAAGCTTAGGAGTTGTAGGCTTCGGCCAAATTGAGTCGTTCTAGCCCTAATTTCAGTGCATATGAATGATATACTTGAGAACCTTTTTGGTTGATTTACAAAGGCCGATGGATGTCTATGTGACTCATTCAGGATTTTCAGCAAGTATGATTATGATTTTATAAAGTATGATATTGAACGATAGATTGTTTTTATGGTTATCAAATACGTTGCATTATTGTTACTCACACGAGTTTTGCTGTTTATCTGGGCGGTGCACCAAGGTGTAGGGCGTGATGCACATGTGACAGATCTGAGTAGATTACAAGGAGCCGGTGAGGTAGTAGTACAGAGATTAGAGAGTTGGAGCATCTAGGTTACATCTTTATCCTTTCTTGTATTATTTTTCTAGGACCTATATTTTGAGTGCCTATGGGCATGTCTTGGCTCTAGTGAGGGTTATGTATTTTTAGAGTATAGACTTGTCCACATTTTGTGGGAGGAGCCCAATATTATGATTATTTTGGGGTATTAGTTCCAATACTTTCATTTCCTATCTTGTTCGTATGCTACTACATCCGCTATGTCCCAGTGTCACGTCTCAATCCTGGATGTATGTCGGGATCAAGGCATGACATGGCATCAACATAATTTATTCTCATTTCAATAATTTAGTTCCAACATAAATCCAACTAGTAACGATGAGTCTTGTGCATCGAAACTAATTTATTTTCTGGGGCGATAAAAAAACAAAGTGTTTCCAATAAAGGAATTTTCAACAACTAGCAACATTCTTTTTCCTTCTAAAAAGAAGTTTTTCAACGATGTCTAGTATTTAACACTCCATAATAACAATTTGTGTTGTTGTGTCTTGGCATGTTATCATGGTATAGTTCAATACTAGATTGATCCTTGCGGTGCCCACGTTTTTTGTAGGTGCACGGATCAAAGTTTCTTGCGAGCACACAAGTCAGAAACTTGAGGATGATGGTGATAATAGGAGCATAAGATTATTCCACCATTG